TTCTTTTATTTAAAATAAAATAAAGAAGTGTAGTATACTATGCAAAAGGTATTGTTTTGAGGAATCCGTAAATGTATTTTATTTTTAAAAGCTGTTAACTTTTTTTATCACCAAATTACCTATACAAGATTCCGATATCACCAAATAACCTATTTAATTTTTACTTTTAGATTGGCAATGAAAAAAGAGGGTAAATATAGAAAATATAATCAACAGCAACTTCAAAACGCTGTCAGATTAGTAAGAAATGAAGGTAAGACTATATATAAAGCTGCAAAGGAAGTAGAAGTCCCATGGAGCACTTTGAAACGTTACCTAGCGAATGAAGAGGATTCGGTAAGAAAACTGGGGAGGCCTTTTGCATTGTCATGTGATTTAGAGTTGAGGCTTTACAATTATATTATAGAAATGCAAGAATTGGGTTTTGGACTAACCGTGTATCAAATTAGAAAATATGCTTATGATCTTGCTAAAGTGGATGGTCGGGAGAAATTCTTGCCGTCAACTAACTGCATTGCAAGCAAATGGTGGTGGAATAGTTTTAAAAGTAGGTACAACTTGTGCCTTTGTGTGGCAGAAAATCTTTCGCCCTACAGAGCTTCCATGGCTAATTAATTTACGATAAAAGATTTCTTTTCGAAACTGCATGATGTTCTTGCGAAACTCAATATAAAAAACAAACCGAATTTAATTTGGAATTAAGATGAGACTGGATTATCGTACCTATGTAGTGAAATCTTCCAAAGTTGTTCTGAACTTGTCTTCCTACGCTAAACGAAGTCAAACTCAAACTATGTTAGCATGCATTTGTGCTGATGGAACATGGATTCCTTCTATGGTAATCTTTAAAGGTGTTAGATATAATAATACACTTAAAAATGATGCCCTTCCCAACACATTAATAAAATTATCTCCTAAAGGATGGATCAATTTTAAATTGTTTTTGGAATGGGTGTAACCTCGGAAATCTTTTTTGGGTGGTGCTAGAAAGATAACCAATGGAGACACTGCGGACGGCAGCCAGATGGTTGGTGGAGAGCGAGTCGTGGGTTCGAAACTAGCTTTTGGAACCGGGAATGGATCCAACGGAAGAAATAGGTAAAGATAGGATAAGAGATATTAGAAAAGATACAGAAATAAACAAAAAGATAGATGGGTAAAATTACCAAAGATAAGAGAAGATAGAAACAGGGCGCCACTCAATTTTTTGGGGTTAAGGAGAAAATTAAGAAAACCTTAGAAAAGAAAGAGATAAGAAAAGATATTTAGGTTCAGAGATCAAACCCAAGGAAAGATACCAACAGTAAATTATCAAATAAATCTGGTCAACGCAATATATAAACAAATAATAAATATATTAAGTATTACACTTACTTACCTACGAAACTTAATCAGCCTGATCTTTCTACAGTTCAAAAGCATAGTAATATTTAAAGATAGTAATTGTTCAGAGCTATTATTTTATCAGGGAACTTGTTAGGAGCCGACAAATAAAATACATGCATAAAACAATAACAATATATTAAACACAAAATTATGATGCTGCTAAATGCAACCCAGGTAATAAAAATACACAACTATGAAATGGTGTTATATATGTATAAAATTAAGCTATAATGTAATAAAAAAATACCTTTACCAAGATGTATAAGGCAATCATATACAAATATAGTTTGGCGTATCTCGAGATATCATAGGAAAGATAATGAACAAAAATTATAGGAAATACAAAAGATAGCAAAAATTACTTAACTCTAAATTTACAAAAAAAAAACAAAAAGGTTACAAGAATGAAAACATAAACCAAACCGCACTTGGCTAAGTCAATTAACTATCTCGCACTATTATTTAATAAAAAACTGAGACTTGTATGTTCATAGGTAATATTTATATAAATTTCTTGAATGGTTCAATTACATTCAAAAATCGGCAATCTTCAGGTGAAGATATAGATGATACGTCCAGATAATGGCAGGTGATATGGTACCATACCATATTACTCGCCCAGATAATTGTAGATAAAATTACTTACAGTAGATCTTGACGAAGGCAGCTTAATTCACTGAATTTAATACTTTTCTGGTACTAAACACTGAATTTAATAACCATTAAAGGTAGTGTAGAACTATATATAATTTAATATAGTCTAAGGAAAGAAAACTCAAATATAAAGTGTATACACACTTAGAAAATAATTCACAAAGACGATACGATAAGAAATAAAGTGAGCAAAGCGTAACACGAGATATTGGCCTTAACTCAACAACGGCCCACCAACAAGTCTCACGAGATATTACCTCACTCAACAACTACCCACCAACAAGTAACTTGGTTCCACTCAAAATTTCACCAACTGTCCCTGAAAAAGGAAGAAGAAAATATTCCCCCACTCAAGAATGATAGGACAGTTGTATGTGTTTCTCAGAAGGTAAGGCCTTAACGACTATTGGAAACTTTGAGGTAAAATAATCGGTATTAACAATTGGACATAAGAAACAGACAATACTTGGGATTAAGTTATTGTCAAAAGAAACGGGCCTTCGACGAAAATTACCAATTTATGAAAAGGAAACTGCATACCAAAACGCATTATACTCTTTTCATAATGAATATTATGACGGAAGGATTAAAAACCATTCCTAATTAGGGAATTCCATTTTAGCTGGGTATCTACAATATTTTGCTATCGATACACGATCATAGGCGTATCGCACGGGGTAAAAGGAATTAGAAATATTTAATATATTAATAATAAAAAGAATGTTACATGGTTAAATTTTTTATCACTACGATACCGCCTGAACGTCCTGTAGTCTTGTTGATGGACTCTCATTCTGTCCACATTGGAGCTGAACTTTTGAAAATAGCGAAAGATAATCAAGTTTACCTATTTACTTTCCCAGCTCATTGCACTCATCTATTGCAACCACTTGACGTGAGACTATTCAAGTCACTTAAGACTTACTGGCGCGATACCATGAACCTTTATATGAGCAATAACCCTACGGATGCGCCAAATCGTAGCAACTTCCATTCCGTTTTAAATCCAGCTTACATAAGCGCCTTTATAAAGAAAAACATTAAGAATGCTTTAAAAAAAACAGCCATATGTCCTTTAAACGGAGATGTTATTCCAAAAGAAGCATTACGGCCTTCATCTTTAACTGACATAGCTCCTGCTTTTCCAGTTTCAACTGACGCAGCACCTGAAACTTCTATTTTAAATCCTAAAGCCACAGTCGATCATATTTTGAAAACACCAACAGCTTCAAAACGTCCAGAGAGGTCAAGAAAAAGGGACTCAAGTGCGAAATGCTTAACACCGACAAATGAAAACACTTCAGTAACAGAAAATCTTCAGCAACAGCCCTCGACTTCATACAAATCTGTCCAAAAAGCAAAAAAAGTAAAATAGATGATTGGGAGTGTGGCTTATGTGGAGTCCTGTATTCAACTGATGTTAAGAAAAGAAATGGAGCCCAATGGATTCAGTGCTCATCTTGTTTGACACCATACCACGAGATTTGCATATCTATCGAAGATACTGACGCCGATGAAAAACTTTATTATAGATGTGATCGTTGTATGGAATAAAATTTTTAAATATCTGATTAAATATACAATTTCCATAATATCACCAAATTTCCTAACCACTATCACCAATATACCTTACCGTGTCACCAACTTACCTAACATAAGTTTGTATGTCAATTTGACATTTACTATCATTATTAATCATTTTTTGTTAAATTAACTCTTCTAAACATTTACTTCAAATATTAGTAACGTAATAAAGCAAAACTTATTTCTTGCTTAGTTTTCGAATTCTTATATTATTAGTATGTTTCATTTTTATCACCAATATACCTTTCCTTACCCTACTAAAAATATTCCTAAAGATTATTCCGCGTACAATATATAAATACAGTTAGAACAAGACATTGGACAAACTCAGTCTTATTATGAACAAGAAGCTCTTGTAAGAATAATTAATTTAAAAACTAATAAAATAAAAATTAAAAGAGGCGTTAGACAGGGCTGTGTATTCAAAGATTCAAGAAAAGCGCAGCATAGGCAGAACAAGAATCTCCTAGCTGAAAAGAGAAACCTCAGAGAATGGTTTGGATATGGTTTGGATGCAGCTCAACTGAACTCTTTCGGGTTGTTGTGCCAAAAGTTAGAATAGCAGTGATGATTGCCAACCTTCGTCGCAGATGGCACGTAAAGAAAAAAAATCAACATTTTTAAAAACATTTATCAGTTAGTTTAAGAAGTATATCTGTGTATTTTAATTTATTGATTAAATACTACTAACGTACATTTCTACTAAATTAACTTATCCAAATATATATTTGGTGATAGTTCGCATGTTTCGAATGTTAAATATGGTTTCCACTAAGTGTGACTCGTTAGCAAGTGTTTCGTTTCATAGTAAATGCAATTTCTACAGATTTCAAGGTATTTAGTTTCATTCAGCAATTTTTTTATTATTGTGTGGTTTTTCTAACTTCGACACGCCTTTCTGGTATAAATCAATGGAATGAGTAATATCGAGACGTAAATCCATATCCAGGATTGATATTATAGAGCAACGAGGAAACGCATGAAGATTTATTCAGCAAAGTTCGAAGCTAACTATATTGTATATAAAAGAGTATTTCTAACACTTATATGTTACTAGATTAAAGGGTCTCGACATTAGAGTCATAGGGCACGGTGAATATTATATTGACTCCTATTGACTATTATTGATATAGTCCACTACACATAGGTGAAACAGGCGAGAAATGATAGTAAATGATACAAGTATTAAGTGAAAATGTTTTTCATACTACGCTACATCAATAAATTACATACGCGTTTGATAGTTCCGTAAACTTGCTTGCTAGTGGAGGCGGATTTTAGTTTTGAAATATTAATTATTTATTATCATTTGTAAATAAAATAAAACGGCATAGGTTAAAGTATTTCATTACTCATTTACTTATTTATTTTCTTAGGTTATAATAAACGAGGATACATTCTTGGAAAATATGGTAAGCGTGATATTGTCAGAATCCACAAGATTGTTAAAAAGCCTACGAAAGCCTCACAAAAGAGAAATGGCTAGCGAACCCCTTGAAGTTAATGCTTTTAATTATTTTTCTGAAAACTCTATAAGTAAGTAATTATTTTACGTTTTTAATATAATCTACATTAATATAGAGAATCCAATCATCCGATTTGTTGTCGGTCATTGTCGTGATTTTAGGATTATAAATTCTTATAATTACTACTTGAGTAGTGGCAGCTTACTCTACCTTATGGACGGGTTTAACCTTTCAGTAGACGCAGCTTGTCTAGAACACGGGTCACCAAATAGCGGACCACGTTCCGCATCCGGACCGTGAGCTTGGTTTTTGCGGACTACCGCAAATTCGACTACTGTAAATTCAGAATAAAGTAATAAAATTATGGTGTAAAATTATAATCAAATCTAAGAAAAAAAATTATCTGAATGTTCTTTACGCATTTCCTGGACGCTTGCCAAACATATAAAGCGATCTAGTGACGCGGTTCGGTTGTGACACGGTATTCACGTATACATCTCCGTATTTCACCTTTATACTGGTCTAGTTGTGTCGTTTTGTTGGAAACATTACAAATTAATCTTATCTCCTACTTTATCAACAATGGGACATATTATTATGCATTTTAAAGTAGAAAATTTTGAAATAGAAATGTCAGTATTTCTGACGTGCCTTCCTGGGATGATTTCTATGCGGATTATTCATTTAATCACATGAAATCAATTTCATGTAAATGGTCGCTATGACAAGACCAGTTCAAAAATGTAACTCAGACAATTTTTAAACAAAAATATGTCTTAGCACTTTTGTATAAAATAAACCGTTCTCTCAAAAGTATCACTTAAATCGAAGCAGTTACGCGCGCGAAATCAATTTTAAATAATATTTGTATCAATTAATTTGACGTTAAAAATTCGATATCACTTTATCAGGGTACCCTATTGACAAAAATCAAAAAGCGTCTTAAAGGTGAAGAGCGCAGCTTTTTTATGCAATTTTTGAATTTTCCTGAAATTAAAGTCAATTTCCATATAAGTGATAAATAAATAAACGTTTTTTATTATTTTTTTACAATTCTCATGAGATCAATAAAATGTATCACTCTTTTCATTACACAATCACTACGGAATTTCCGTCTTTAAAGCCTAGTCCTCAAAAAACCTATAGCATGAATTTTTAGTTTTGATTTTTTACCATGTAGCTTCAAATATCTAATGCTGTTAACTTCACTACAGAGAATGTCACGTCACGGAAAATACTTCCACGAAGACGGCATTGGGTGAAATTTGTAGTCAACGTACTCTAATTTCAAAAAACGTACTTGTGTAATTGAAATAACCGAAAAAAAAAACAGTTTTAAATATTTTAGACTGTTTTTAATATGGAGGTTTAAATTCTGCGTTTTTAGGCATATTTCAAATGCCTTACAATTCGCGATAGCCAATTCCGATAGAGGGCGCTGAAGATTTCAAAGATGGACGATAACTTCGGGAAAACAAATCATTTTGTCACTTGATCTCTAAGCTATAAAACGTTTAATATAAATCATTTACACGTGTATTTTGCCAAAGTAAAAGTTGGAGTACGTTCTTCAAAGTTTATTTGTTTGTGATTCGAGTTTATACATAAGGTAATTGACTCCCAAACTTGAATAAAAATAAAATTAAATGTTTGTTTTTCTACAGTATGTCTGAAACACGGGAAGTAAAATTTACATTATCCTAATTATTTATATGGTTGCAAGATCGGCAGAGATCTTTAGTTGAGGGTGAAGCAGTTTTTGGAGCTGGCCACGGTATATTTTGTAAATTACGCCTTACGTTTTCTACTAATAACTTCAGGAGACCGTTGGGGCAATTTAGCTGATGGAACAGCATTTTACTTCAGTCTTCTCAATTTAGTTTCAGGTGTTCCTATAAAGTAAATTAAGTATAAATATATTAAAATATAAATAATATTTTAATCAACACTTGAAAAGTAATCGTTCTCAGTAAAATGTAAACTGCACAGTCATGTACTTGGTGATAGGTTTGCCAATTCGCAAAATGCATTGCCAAACTTTTCTCATATTCTCGTCCAGCGGAAACATGTATGGAATTTTTTTGTGAATTATAATAGGATGAACATGAAGTCGAAGTCATTGTTAATTACAATATAAACCGGTCGCTAATATGGATACAACAAAATAAGGACAATTTCAAGGTTTTCCCGAAGTGGATGCTTTTGAAATCTACCACCAAGCGTCGCCCACTTTGCGGTTCCTCGCGAATTGCATGCCATATATTTTGAAGATTTAGGTTTTAACAATGACAATTTTATTGTGACCGGTTAATAAAAAAGTGATAAATTTTATTGGTTTTATAAGAATCGTAGAAAATGACAAAAATCGAGCAACGTTTATTTATTTAACTCTTTTATAGAAACTGACTTTAATTGCAGCAAAATCTAAAAATTGTATAAGAAAGCTGCACTATTCACCTTAAAAACGCTATTTGATTTTTGTCGATAAAACACTCTGATCAAAAGATATCAAACTTTTACCGTTGAATTGATACAAATTATATTCAAAATTGATTTCAAGCAATATTAAAAAAACGCTTTATCGCTTTACGACGTACAGATTCTTGGTAAATCGATTTTTTCCGTTTTTCCCCTACGATGGTGGGCGGTTTTAGGGGATAGAAATAGTATACTTTTTTGAAAATTTTTTGGGGTCCCAAAATTAACATTCTCAGAAAAATTCAGCTTGTTCGTATGATTTTTAGAGGTTCAGTGGCATTTTCGTCTCTGATGACTGGATTAATAAATTAGTTTTTTTATAACAAAACTTTAGCAAATCCGGCATTTGGTAATATGTTTTTTGGATGACTCTATTTGACTTACATTGGATTACAAAAAAAAATAAACAAAATCGTTTAACTAGAAGCCGAAAAAAATACATTTTTTACATCAGTCCTGAAGTTGTCCAAATTGTACAAGTTTAAAAAAAATTAAATTATTTTTTAATTTAGATTGCAAAATTATTATGCGAAATATAATAAAACCATTTAAATAAAACTTGGTGGGCTGTTTTACTATGATATAAAGATATTCTACAAGAATTATAAAGATTCTATGTGAATTGAAAGCGGTTGAAAAACATTAAATAAGAAAAGACTTGTTTCGTCCGTTTTTTTTTTTGTATTTATTGCTATTGTTAAGTAAGGGCAATAAACTTAAACGTAAATAGAGTTTATGTAGAGCCGCCGACGAGTTAACATTGTGAGCGTTTCAGCATCGAATATATCGTTTAAAAATTGGTGTAGTGTGCCTGATGTGGTTTTTGTACGATAAGAACAATTAATAACGTTTTATTAAAAAGTGATTTGAAACATTATTGTGTAAAAATAGTTAATACAAATAATTTGCCGGCCCTATAGGCCAGGCATTGAGTTCTTTAAAAATTAAATTGTTCAGTTAATACCAACAATTGACGTGTAGCTTATGTGTACATGAGTAGCACAGGAAATACCATCAAACCAACTGTTCCTTCCACAACAATGTCACAACAAGATTCATCAATCCGCAACAAACAAGATACATCAAACAACAACACTTCTACAATATCATATGTAACAGCAGCAAAAACAACACCGAAGACAGCATCAAATTATTTGATTATGTAAAAGCAATTGGTGATATTATCGAACCCAGGAACATCTGTTTCGCCTCCAGAATCTCCAACAACAGGGTCTGTATATATGTAACTAATAAACACATAGTAGATGAACTTGTAAAATCTCATCCTACCATAAAAATCGGCTCCCTAACTTTAAACATACGTAAACTCGTTTCTCCTACAAAGAGAATCTTAATATCCAATGTCTTACCGTGTATCCCACATGAAATTATCGAAACCGCTGTTAAAAGCCTAGGTCTAAAAATTGCTTCCCCAGTATCATTTCTTAAAACAGGTATTCCGGGGGATGAATTCTCATATATCCTTAGCTTTAGAAGACAAGTTTATATATTTCCGCCCTCCGAAACTTTTGAGCTCCAAACCTCCCTTGTGCTCTCTTTCGAAGATAATGAAAACCGCATCTTCCTTTCTACTGACAAAATGAAATGTTTCGTTTGTAACAGATCAGGGTATGTCGCTTCAAATTGCACAAATCCACCAGAAAGTACCTCTTCTGACCAGACAACCGTTTCATCTCCTTTAAGAGCCGAATCCACGTCTACTGAAAAAAGCCCAGAAACCAACACTGTACCTTTCACACCAACAGAGATATCTCCTCCAGTCAATAATATACCACCTATGTCGTCAAATAACAACTCCTCATTAGAACAACCAAGTCAACATATTACAGATACATAAACACACTATAAACGGACACACTCAGAACTTTCATCTCCTAGCGACAGAACTAGCATAACTGAAGAATCCACTCATAGTGAACAAACTAATATTTATGCCGGGTTTTCCAAACCACAAAGCAAGAAAAAACTTAAACAGTCAAATTGTGACTCAACCCTATCCGAAATAGCAAAAACAATTATACGCGAACTTTATAAAGAAACCCCACAAATATTCATAATCCCAGCAGATAACATAATTTCTCTTCTTGAAAATTGTTACGGTAGTAGCGATCCATACACAGAAGCATTAAAATTTACACCGGACATCAAATCACTTATTTGTACGTTATACCAAATCTATCCCAACCATGAAAAATCAACCAAAAATAGACTAACTCGTCTTATAAAAAAATTTAAGGACAAAACCGAACTCTTAATGGGTGATTCTACAAAATTACCGAATCTTGACTTCTCACACGAAACAACTGACGATGAGTACATCTCTGATACATCTCAAAACTCACAGACATCTCAAAAATCCTCTCATTAACAAATTCATAATTATTCAATGGAACTGCGATGGATTCTATCCTCGCCTGGCACGCATACAACAACTTATTTCCGAAACCAATCCTGACTTTATTTGTTTACAAGAAACAGACTTTACAGAAACACACAACCCTCATCTAAAAAACTTTGTTAGTTATCACCATATCAGAACTACACACCGACGCGCTAGCGGAGGAACAACAATTTTCGCATCAACTGAAATTTTTCACCGTAAACTTCACCTAAACACTGCATTAGAAGCTGTTGTTATAACAGCATGGTGTTCAGAACAAATCACAATATGTAGCTTATATATTCCTCCTAATTATACATTGAAAGCACTGAATTAGAAATCCTAATATCTCAAATTTCTCTCCCATTTATTATGGTTGGAGATTTTAATGCACACAACACTATGTGGCGATCCAAAAATACATATGGTAGAGGTAAAATAATCTAAAATGTCATTAACAATACTGATATTAACTTATTTAACACAGGAAATAGTACATACTTTCATGTTCAGTCAGGAAGCTTCTCATCCATAGACTTAAGCTGATGTGATCCCAAAATACACCCGTTACTAATCTGGCATACTCTAGATAGCTTATTCGATAGCAATCATTTTCCCATTATTATTACTAACAATGCAGTCAAATAGGAATATACAAAAACGAGATGGAAAATCTCAGATGCTAATTGGGAACTCTTCAAACTAACTGTACAAGAACGCACAGATGTACTCAAATATCAAAATAACATAGACGAAGACATAAAACAACTAAACCATTGCATAGTTTCATCCGCAGAGGAGTGTATCGGCAAATACAAAATTAATGCAAAAAAAAACACGTTCCCTGGTGGAATGACTCATGCAAAACAGCAATACAAGAAAGCAAAAGAGCTTTAAACAGATTCCGAAAATCTCGCACTCTAGCTGACTTAATAGATTTCAAAAGGCTCAGAGCAAAAACAAAACGAATAATAAAAAACAGTAAACAAAATTCATGGAATCATTTTACCAGCTCTATTACCAAAGATACCCCACCGACTCAAGTATGGTCAAAAATAAAGAGAATGAAAGGACATTACAGATCATACAAAATTCCAGCTCTCACCATTCAGGACAAAATAATTACAGATGACCAACAAATCAGTGATATGCTTTCCCAACATTTTCTCAATAAATCAAATAATTGTACTAATCCACATAACGAAATTGATGCTACTCAAAAAACGTACAATACTAATCATCCCATTAATATACCTTTCAGTTTCCAAGAACTAAATGATGCCCTTTTTTCAACAAAAAGCTCAGCTGCAGGTCCTGACGATATTCCCTCTATCTTTTTAAAAAACCACCAAAATACATGAGAAAATATTCAAACTGTTCAACAAAATTTGGTCTTCTCAAAAATTCCCGTCACTATGGAAACAATCCCTAATCATTCCTGTCAAAAAAGGCGATCAATCCCTAGACACGCTGAACTCATACAGGCCAATCTCTCTGACCTGTACATTATGTAAACTTTTAGAAAAAATGGTTAATAAAAGATTACTTTGGTACCTCGAACAAAATAAAATCCTCGACCAATTTCAATCAGGCTTCAGACCAAATCGATGCACCTTGGACAATGTTGTACTTCTCAATCAACAATTGCGACTGCGCTATCTAACAAAAATGAAGTCATTGCAATTTCCCTTGACATCGAAAGCGCTTTTGACTCTATATCGATTTCTGTGATACTAAACAAACTAAGCCAAAACAAGCTATCCGGTAATATATATTCGTTTATAAAAGATTTTAGCTCATTCATAAACGACCCTGTGCAATACGGAATATATGCCGACGACATAATATTATTTTGTCATTGAAAGGTCACTTCCAGCACAAATGCTTTACTACAAAATACGCTAAGTAAAATAAACAACTGGGCCAGTCAATCCGGCCTAAACTTTTCCTCATCTAGATCCAAAGTTATTCATTTTACTAGAAGACAAAACACGCAATCTCCAACCATTACTCTGAATGGAAATTTTCTCCAAGTAGTAGACCAAATAAAGCTTTTTGGCATTATTTTCGATAAAAAACTTTCCTGGAGACCACACATTCGAGAACTTAAGAGTAGCTGCCTACAAAGAATGAATCTCCTTAAATCACTAGCCCATTATAGTTGGGGAGCCGATGAGGAAACACTACTAAAAATATATCGAGCTCTTATTCACTCCAAACTTGACTATGGTAGTGTTCTCTACATGTCATCAAGTAAATCACTACTACGTTCACTTTATGTCGTCCACAATACTTCCCTTCGACTTTGTTTAGGAGCATTCCGATCCAGTCCGGTGGAAAGTATTCATGTAGAATGTTTCGAACCTTCGCTTCATCCAAGACGACAACAACTTCTACTGCTCTATTGCGCTAGAGTTTCAGCAAATCCCACAAATCCCACAAGAAACCTCATCTGAAATAGACAATTACCAGTTACTAATAATCCTAGAATGGTACCGTCCACTATACAGATGCTACTTCCTTATTTAGATATCAATCTGTTGTCGACCAGCCCTTTCACGGTCCCTCAAACCCCTCCATGGATATGTAAACTTCCAAATTTTAATATCGAATTATCCAAATATAATAAGAATGAAATATCACCTTCCATTATCAAACAAAGATTCTATGAAATATTACATCAATGCAACTTCGATAAGATCCTTTACTCAGACGCATCTAAGACAGAAGAAGGTGTTGGTTGTGCTGTTACAACGACTACAACCACCGTCAGCTTGTTTCGACTCTCCAGCAATTGCAGTATTTATACTGCTGAACTATATGGAATACTACAGGCGGTGAAAACTCCACTCAATGATGATAAAACTATAGAAATCTGTACAGACTCTCTGTCCTCCATGCAGTCCATAAGAAACGTACATTCTATCCACCCAATAGTTCAAGAAATCCAGAGCATATGTAATCGTCTTCAAACTAATGGAATAGCAGTAACGATATTGTGGGTCCCATCACACGTTGGTATTCCAGATAACGAAAAAGCCGATCAAGCAGCAAAACAAGCTTGTTCTCTTAACGTTACAACAGACATTCAAACATCATCAGATCTAAAAAGAACAATCAAACATAAAATAATAGACCTTTGGAATGATCAATGGAAAAGAAGCAATACCAAGTTAAGCGTTCTACAACCAAACATTTTCTACCACAAGCTCTCACCAATAAAAAGAAAGGACAAATATATCATTCGAAGATTGAGAATAGGGCACACACACCTTACACATGGACACCTAATGAATTCCAGTAATCCGATTTTGTTCCAGTATTGCAACACCACGACTTCCGTAGCACATGTACTTCTTGACTGTCAACACTACCTAGCGGCCAGAAGAAAATATAATCTTGGTAACAACCTAAGAGACATTCTTATTTCAAACAGCAGTAACTACGAAAATATATTAAACTTTTTAAAAAACACAAAGTTATACAATTTAATTTAAAACAAAATGTATTAAAAAAGTGTATTGTAACTAATTTGTACTCCATGTAAAGTATTAACGATGTAAACATAAATGTAAATTGTACCTGTGTCAATGACCATTAGCTGTCGAGACACATATGTTCGAAATAAAAAAAAAATATTAATGTTTCCGACCTATTTGAGAGGGAAAATATCTCAACTATTATTACTAAAGCTATCACCTAACTATTTCTGTAAAAATACAAATGCCACCTCTCACATCCAAATTTAGTCGTTTTTCTGCATCAATTATTTGTAAGAAAACAATTAAAAATTATTATAGATTTAAAAAACATGAAAATTCGAGTCCTTATAAACAGAATCAGACCAAAAAATACATTTCAAGTATTGACAAAGCACCTTTATAGACATTTGAAAATGACCTTTGTCCTCTCACATGGAATAAACAAATATAATTGTTTATAAACTACTTGACCGATTGTGCACATCTTTCGCAACTGTAGTAGTAGAAAAATTATCAGTAAATATTTTCAAAATAGTACCCCAAATTATATAAAATAAGTTAAAAATCAAAATTGAAACATTTCACCTCTAAATCTTTATATACTATTCCATGAACCTGAAAATATTATAATTTTCAGATATTCCAATGGCTATTTTAAATTTTCCTATGTACCATCTAGGACTAGAGTAAGTATTTTCCACATTAGCTCGTTAAAATATGCAAATGATTTTCTATTTTAGGGTTTTAAATTATGGCTCTATAGGAACGATTCTAGGCCATGAACTCACCCATGCATTCGACAATACGGGTAAGACAAAAATTAAAATACACTAAAGAACATAAAAATGTTGGATCAATGATACCTCTTTATTATTTTATTTTATTTAAAATTTCTATTAATTTAATATGTGAAATAGGAACTGTAATTATTGATGCAAGAGAGAACGCCAATAATACCGAAGTTACCAGATTCATTGTAATCGTTTCTATTTCGGAAACGACAAAATAAATTTTTTTCCCAACTAGCTGCTGTATCCTGCGCGTATTTCTACGCCACCAACTAAAATAAATTTGAAGGAAACAGATTATACAATCAGTGTTGTGAGATACCCAATATTTGTTGTTTTTCCTTATGGTGCATAAGCAAATAAATCAGAAGGTTTTCCGACGCGTGAACAGGCCACGTAGAGCTGCCCATGTCAGAAGCATGGATTCTCCAAGATTAATCAACACACTTGTAACGATTGTCATTGTGCTTTGTTGATAGTCATTGCGAAAGTTAGTCGCACTAAGAACTGTAAACGTTTGAATTCGAACGGCATATTTATCGAAATCATTGCGATATGTGGTATGATAAATTATGGTAAATTAGCTTGGCTTATGGTATTGTATGGTAACTAACGTAGTTATGGTGTCAGATGATACATTTATTTGAATCACTAACTGTACACTTTTACAATATTACCTATTCTAAATGTAACCGAGAGTTGCACCGAGACTTTTTTACATCTTTAAAGAGAAGAAGGAAAATCTGCATACAGACACCTGTGACTCACACAGGTAGTATTGGGTTCCTAATACCCTAGCGAAGCTGTGCAGGGGCGAGATGCCCAAGGAATTTAGACCTTGACACCTCGCCCCGTCACCACTCCGAGACGGTCGGCGTCCAACTAAAAACCTCTCCTCTGTCATACCAGACATCAGGATGGAAGGGCCAGTTAAGGCATACATCTCTCCTGATGCCCTGCTATCACCCGATTCCCATTCTTTCTCCGACACATTCATCCAGGAAACCACACCCACACGAACCACCAAGACTTTCAACCCCCTGCCTTAGCGAGGCTGCCATCTCTCTCGCGTCGTCTGTTTCTTACTCACTCTTATTGGCTGCGACGTCCGACCCTCAGGTGCTACTCGCTGTCTAAATTCGTGCGAGTTCCTCCTCTCGTTCTTTTGAAGAGAGCAGCTCCCTGACAAATTTGTGGATCCGTATCTACCACCACTTATCCCTCATCATTTTCTCCACCATTTCTCTCACGGAATCAAACATTCTGCAGTTACACTCTCTTACAAACTTCTCTCTTTCATCCGCCCAACGCTCCCACTCCAACATCGTGTGTGTCACAGTGTCCGAGAAACCACAGTAAAGGCACTGATCGGACTGCCCTCCTAAACCTGAAAAGGTAGCTGCGGAAGCAGCCATGGCCTGTGAGCATTTGCGTTAGATAGTAATCCAGCTGCCTATGCCCACAGTCCACCCAGCTTCGAAGGTTCGGGATTAGTGACTTCGTCCACTCCGCCACATCACGTGTTGCCTCCCACTCTTGTTGCCACTGTCCGATTGAAACTAATCTCTCGGCGAGTCTTATCTCATTCATTTCTCGCTCTCCAATGTTCCGCCCCCTACGACTGTGAATCCTTGCCCTTTCACCTGCCAGCACATGTAAGGAACACAGCCGGTGATAACCCACAGAGCGGCAGCTGACACAGTCCTGTAGGCACATGCTACCCGCAACAGACTAGTTCTGTCCACGCGTACCATGAGCCTCTTGTAAGTTGGTATTTCTACCGCGTCACTCCAGACTGGGGCCGCGTAGAGGACGACAGACTGCACCGTGGAGCGCCCTTCTCCTTTCGGATTTGGGACCACCGATATTAGGGATTATCCTCCCCATGGCGCAGCCATTCTCTGAACAGCTCTGCAGGTCACCCCCCTCAAATGTTCCCCCCAACTCCCACCCTGGTGGAGAGTAACTCCCAAATACTTAACGTACTCTTTGGGCGTCACTCTCGCTCACGCGCACTCAAATTCAGCCCTATCTCTCTTTCTATAGCCTCTGAGTACTACAGCCTCCGTCTTATCTTCCGCAAGAGAAAGATCAGGCTCACTCATCCAAACCTCAACTAGAACACACGCACGCGTAATCCGAAGCAAGAGTTCCTCCCTGTCCCGTGCAGCCACCAGCATAGCAAGGACGTCCGCGAATGCAAAGGGGGTCACACCCTCTCGATATTCGCAATTAAAGACCCGGCATATGCCAGGTTGCACCGAGACTACTTCATAATTACCAATACGTGGTATTCTGAGATCTGTGATAATAATTGTTGTCTCTTTTATATTCGTCCTTGCTATATCAGCAGTCGTTCATATGTGGGTCAAGTTTGTTTTGTTAGCCGACGACAACAAGGTCGCACTCCAACACTCTGATGACTTGCACATTTCGATCGACGCTGTTTCCTGTGTATGCCCTCAATTTGATTTATTAAAAACATATTGGATATAAATAAATGCGAAAAGGTCTCTTATTTTGAAATGTTGAGGTGCTGCGGTTGGCTTGCTTGCGTCTTGTCTTCCCTTTTTGTGCTTTAGTAAGTTCATTCATTCAGTTAATTATTTTCTTGTCTGAGAGTCTGGTTTCATAGCAAAGTTGTGGTGGATTTATATTTCGAAGAATAATGACGGGTACGCCAATTTTCAATGTAAGATCATACGGTGGTATGCCTGGTAAATCAAGCGAATTCAAGAATTCAGTTGAATAGTTGACAACTTCGTGTTGATTCACCAAAATATCGATGGACTTATATATTGTCGTTTCACCGTGTATTCCATTCTAAATATTGCTATTAGTGAGCCACTGATGATTTTATAGTTCTGTGAAATGTTTGAAAAAAATTTTTACACCAATTCGTCTATGCTTCCTGTAATCCATGTAAATTTCCAGCCGATGCATCACGTTGGAGTTGTACACGCTAGTTCGTTTTTAAAGTCATTTTTTCTAAATAACGCCATAAAACTGATGATTTAAGACATGGAATAAGTTTATCATCGGGAGTTAAAAGTTCTTCTTCTTCAGATGCAAATCCACTAATGGATGTTAGCGATCACATTTTCCATTAACTCTCTATTTCTTGCAGTTAAAAGTTATATATCCAGAATTTTTTGAAAATTACTAGATAATAAAATGAGTGCGCCACCAAAGATTCGTGTGTTTTCTTTCAAATCTCGCAGTATTCGATTAATGCGTTCTTGTAAGACTTTATACATTCGTCCCATATGATAATTTGACACGTATGGAGTATTTTTCCCATTGCAGAGTTTTTGCTGAAGTTTCAGATTGGTGCCTCAATGTTTTGCAAATTCAACGGCAGTTTCAATGCAGAATGCGCTGTTCAGCCACCATCCAAAAGATTTGCCCCAATTCCAGATGAAACAATGGCCAGTGCAATATTATTTTGTGATTATATTTTTGCCAAAATGGGTAATAGAAGAAAAGTGTTGCCTGTACCACCTAGACCTAATTTTGGCGGTTTAACTTTTCCACTGACACAGCATATTGGACTTGGATAAAGACTGTAATCCTTACTACTATTATAATTTCATAATATATGCACCAAGATTTAAATCAGCCTGTAGTGTCTTGATCGAGCGATTATTCGAATATTTTCCAGACTTCTTTCCAATTGTTCAGTAGTCTCAGACGAATCAGTTTCTAACGTTACTTCCCGTTGTTCAGATAATTCAGATGAACGGGTCTCAGTGGCGTGTAGTTAAAGACTTTATAGCCTTAATGCTCGTTACTCGTCTGATCTGAGGCTCGTAATGTTCTTTTCTTCTGTGCAGGAGATGTAGATTGGGCAATTTCTTGTCGCTTTGGAGGCATAATTGTACAAAAACTAAAGCTAAGGGAGGTCCCGGTTAATAAACTATTTTAGAAGACGGTGAGAAATACTGGCGAGTCATCGGTCATTAGGTCAAATGAATATTATATAGTAGTTGTTAGGTAATTATCTCCTATATCTTTGTTTATACAGAAATCAAGGAGGTCTGTCTGTCGGCTAATATGTAGGTTCATCTGTAGAGTGACTTTTGAGATTATTAATATTAAATGCCTGAAATAGTTGTCAGCCACACGGGTTCATTAATCTGGATCCCAAAAAAGGATGTTGCGCACTTAATGGCGAGGAATCTTTATCCAAGTGATTAAAAAATGAGAAAATTGATTTTATTATTGATTCTGATTTTTATCATCTACTAGGGAGGATAGTATAATGCTGATTTAGTGATTGGCTCCCTCCAGTCTTCAATTACTAGGTTTGTAGCCTGCGGGTCTGATATAGTCCATTTGTTCAGCTTGGTAATATTTTGACATATTCATTGTCAGAAACATATAACACAAAAATTTCTAACTGCCACTATTAATAATTTTAAACTTAATATTACAGACTTCTTTCATCGAAAAAAGAAAAATAATCATAAATAAGGGGAGATTTTATGCTACGTTGTAGAATACTAAATTACTAATTACAGTAAAACCTCGATATAACGGACCTCTATTTAACGGACTTCGGATATAACGGACACAAAATCCGGTCAAAAGTAAAAAAAAAAATAAAATGTATAATTAATATTATACATGTTGTACTGTACCCATACCACCGTTAGTAATTTTTTTGCTGAAAAATAAATAAATGAATAAAGCATTTGTAAGAAAAACAATATTATATCATAAACATACTATAATGTATCTACACACATGATATATAAATTTACACATTTGTAGGTAAGAGACAGAAAGTGAGAACATCACATATTATTAGGGGTTCCCTGATATAATAACGCTTAGGTTTCTATAATTATATACGTGTTTACTACGCTGGCTAAGTTAAAATTTTTGCTATCCTACCCTCTAAATATAGACAAATGGAAAAGAATCAATCTAACGATCAATCAGAAACAAGCTAGTCTACAAAAGTTGAAGTCTGGAACTCCAAAATTTTTCGGACATAAAAAAACAAAAGCAAAATAAA